CCCTCATAAATATCAGTATATTTTTGCCCGGTAAGCCGATTTCCTTTCTGCCGATGCCTTCGAAACGTAGAGCGGCTGCTGCCGAATCGCGCGAAATCCTTTCTCCCATCTTCTTCTTTTCTCGCGCCTCGATCCTCCCCCGTCGCAGAGTCTTTATAGACCGGGAGATTAAACGCGCTTCTCGTGTTCCTTTTTAATTTTGCCACTTGTATCTGCGCGGGTTATTTTCAGTAAGGTAAGGTCCCTGTGTGTCAGCGAATCTTTCGTTCCGAGGTAATCGTCCGCGACCAGCCTGCTTTCTGATCTTCACCACGCTCCACTCTTCCATTGGCTATTGGTAACTAGAAATTCTGTTTCTTCTGCCGCTCTTACGTCTCGTTTCTTTGCTTTTTCGACGGAGGTGTGAAATATAAGGAAATACTGGTAAGAAAATAGGATTTCGAAGTATTCATCGTGTCAATAATCTTCGTCCGTATTAAAGAATCGAATGATATCATTTAGATTCGTTTCCGAACAGTTTCAATATTTTGTGTAGTTAAGGAGTAGCGTATGTACGGAAAATTCTGGAAATAATGCGTTTAATCCAAATGTATGGTATAGAGTCGATTTTGTAGAATGGATGAGACGAAAATATACCAATCTTTATACGAGGTGAGGACTTCGTGGGTTTATCGAATTCAACAAATTCTTCTGAAGTCGTAGACTCTTCAGAAATTTTCTTCTCAATCAAATCCGAATGAAGATAATGTAATTAAAGTTGTCATCAGTCGGGGCAATATCCGTAGAAAAGGTTTTAATTGCAACTGTGTCTTTATCGATCGTTCTCATTTCCTTCTTTCAAGGAGCAAAAGAAATAACACGTTTCGCGGTAGCTGAACGCGCTACACCTTCGTTCCTACTATACCTACAATCCAGGAAGAGATAGTCCCTTTGAATAACCCATGAATTGCCCGATAAAGCGAACGAAAAGAGGAACGGAAAGGCAGAGTGTGGTACGTAGATCGCGGAGGATGCTAAATTCGAAACTCTGCGCAATGCCATGTCGAAGGGAAACGACATAGACTTGGCGATCGCGTTGGAAACCGGCGACAAAAATCGTTGCCGCTGCTCTTCCCCGTGGATTTTTCCGTGTCATCTCGAATTGGTATGCGGCATGGCCTTCTAACAATACGACAATTTATATGGATTTGGAAGAGTCTTCAGCGTCTCTTCGGATCTGGTACCTCGAGTTTTACCTTCCGCTGTATTCAATGGATCTCCTCACCCTTCTCCCCTCTCTTTCTCCCTCTATCACTCTTTCTTTCTCACCCTCCCTGTCTCTCTTTCTGCCCGCTGTTCTCTTTAACCCTCTATCTTTTTCTTTCTTTTCCGCCTGACGGTCGGCTTGCACTCTTACTCGCACTACACAGATCGCTCTGCTGGGCATCAGCGAGGTTTTATCTCGCATTCAGAGACTGCATCGTCCCTCATGGATGGATCGGCAATCCTCTTTAACTCTCCGCCCCCTCCTTCCCTCTACAGTCGCGTTTTCTTTCTCCTTTTCCCTCGTTTGCTCTTCCCTTTCTAATACATACGTATACATACTCTCTTTTTCTCGCTCGCACTCCCTACTTACACCCTTAGCGTGTACGTTTCTCCGTCTGTACTCCCGCCGTTCTTTTTCCTCTGAGTCTATCCAACCACTCGATGCGAGATTATACCGCGGCTGGATACTCGCGAAAAATTCACGGATTCAACGTGTGCACGTACCTATCTACCTACGTACCCAGTGCATTCGTATTCCAAATTTCCTGGAATTTTTCACCTGTTTACTGGCTTCCGCCAATTTCTGAATTCAGAAAGGTACACATATGCATACATTTTAGCAATTATTAGTAGACTTGCAGGTATAGATTTGATTAAATGTACCGAATGTTTAGGGAGTTCAACGCTAATTATTGACATTATTATGATGGAAGTTTAATGGAAGGGAATTCTAGTTAGCGTCTGATTGAAGAACTTCTGCTGGCTAAATCTACTTGTTTGAACGTCTGCCGTTATTTGAATGAAAAATTATAAGTAGGAAGGGGAATTGGTACATTTCTATAGTATGGTCTCCAATCTTATAAATTGTTTGTTTCATGACCAGTTTAAGATAAATAGAATCGTCTTGTAGCGATTATCATAATCATAGATATTGTTATTTAAAGATAGCTTTATAATAATAATAAGAGAAACCTTCTGTATATGTGGATACACATTACAGAGTATTCTAGAAGGTATAGTTAGAATAAAAGAAAAACAAAACTAGCTAACTAGTGGTAGATAGATGAAAAGGAAAGAAAAGGAAATAATAAAATGAAATATACATTAATGATTACGGACTGCGTTGCAAGCTGATAGTTTAGTAAAACTTATAGATTTGCAGAAGAAATCATTTGTACCGCAAGACTGTTTTATTCGTGTTTAGTTTTATCCGAAAGATTAAATACTTGGTTTGTGTAGATCAATAATTGTTGGTTTATGAAAATATCAATAATAATTGAACTTGAAATTGTATGGAAAAATTTTGTTCCTTTCTAAAGAAATAACTGCTTTAATTTTCACTGTAGTACCTATATTTAAAGAATTTTTCATTTAATTTCTTACTTAACATTTTTATACTAATAAGTGAAAATATTTCTTCGTAAAATAATTATGAAATTTTATATGCGAACGTAAGTTGAGTGTCACTGGCAACACACCGCAGCTTCGAATATTCAGCAAGAGATGGCGCTGTCAGTACTATCAACTAACTTAAATATTCACAATTTAATTCATCTATCCTTTCACAAATCTTGCAGCTGTTTTAAATATCGTTTATTGTCCTTTTATGTACTTTAAGGCAGTTAACATAATACGTAATGTAATATACAAATATACTGCCATTAATGTTTATTTACGTTAGTTGATAATATTTTCCCTAGAAAATTTGATGAAATTGGTGTTTCTTGGTCATGATCATTGACTTACGCTCTCTCAAAGGGTTACGTAAAACCAAGGGCGGAAACTCGAGTAGAAACGTGTGTCGCAGTTCGGTACACGAGAACAAATGCGATATAATGTTACTTCTCAATGGCCTTCCATGATACGTTTTTATATACGCTTCAGAAAGTCTCTTCTATCAACATTGTCCATCTATGTATTCTTATTGACGCAATACTCGACAAAACATGATATACATTTGAGTATCTTTGCATGCAAACCGTAAAAATATCTACCCATACTTTCGCTTCTTTAACAGATTTCAATTGTTCTAAGCGTTGGTAATATTTTAAATTACGATACAATCTTCAATTTTCAATTAGGATGAAAATTATTTTTTTTGATCATCATAAAGTCTATATATTTCAATAAAGTTGCACGCTTTTCAAATATTTATTTAATTTTCCTTAATATTACAGCAGGAATTTACATCGCAACATAACAAAATTGTTGTTTATAGTATTACAGCTTCTGCGCTTTAAGATGATGACTTCCTTCTTTTCGAGTTCAATTAGTATATATAATTTACGAATGCATCAATAAAAACTTACTCTAAACAACTCAGAAAAAGACCCTTGCGTATAAAGGGAATTTCAAAGCGGATTCCTTTACATCAAACGCACGTTGCGTTGAAGCTACTATATCAGTAGACTAGCTGAAGCCCAGCGGAGAGGCAAGTTTACGATGTAACAGTGCAGGTCGGCTGATCTGCGAACGAGATTGGACCTGTAATTCAGTAGACCGATATTTACGATATTTATTGGACGGACGAAACAATGGATCGATATTGTTTTTCGATTGGCCGTTCTTTGTGTTTCATATGCTGGTGGTTACACACGCGGCGGTTTATCGCGGCGGCGTGTGTGCGGTTGTACTTGTATGGAAAACACAGACGCGGTCGTCCGTGCAGAGAGCAAGCCTCGTAAGCAACCGGGATCTTTATACGAACGAACATAAATAATATTTAATATGACAGGGAGAAGCGGCGCTGCTTTGTGCGATATATTTGGCATAGAAATGTCACCGATCGCGTATCTTACTTTCAAATAAGATCGCGCTCTTACTTTATCTCCATGGCGGATTGTGCGTCGAGCATTCAAAAACGCTATCCGTATCGATGAGCATCTTTTTTTTCTTCCACGTATATAAGTATAATTTGATCGAGCAAGAACAGTCGGGGCTAGAAGGTTATAACATACTACATTAATGGCAGGAAATGAACGAAAATGGTATGAAAATGTTATCTGCGCTTATAGAATAATGGAGATGAGTGTATCAATGTTTTTACCGTTTATCTACTTTACTTTTACTCGATTAGATAATGTAAGTATACCAGCCTTTATAATTTCTAACCACGTTCTTTCTCTATTTCTAAGCAACTCTCGAATCCCGATACATGTACACATCTTCCAGGAAGTAGCTAGTTCTTGTTCGTACGCTTTCGCAGAAAACGTATAATACACAAACCCAACAGGAAAGCTCGCGGTCTCGCGATCTGCCGGTATTCGTCGAATCTTCGATCAGTCCAGATCGAGCTGAAGTTGGCGAGCGCAGGAACAAGAGACGTATCGTCCATTTGAATATCAAATTTGATGCAGCGGCATAGCTCTTTCGCGTATCGCGTTATCCATAATCGTATTCAAATGAAGATCACATAAGGTATGCTGTTTTAACGGAGGTTAACTCTCGAAGCGCCGTCTTTCTTTCTCTAGCGCCCTCTAGTTTTCCTCCGTTGTCCCCTTCCACTGTTGCATCTCTGGTCAGCGTTCGCAGTATGGCGCGGAGTGGGACGAAAGAGAGGCTACGTTCGGTGACGAACAATAACGATAAAGCGTATAATGGTTAAGCGCGACAAATATACATAGGCAGCTCTAGGAGCGCGAGCTTCCTTGGAACTTGGTGCGCCAACGAAGTGCGGTGCAACGGAGGGAGAGAGAGAGAAAAACATAGAGCGAGAGAGAGTGTGATAGTGGTGAACGGAGGAGGAAGAGGTTAGAGAAGGGATCCACATATGCATACAATTGATACAGATATACCATCGTCTTTATATACGTGTCGCGTTATTCTTGCTGCTGCCGCGCGCGGTATACCGAGCCGGCATAACACGAACGGCCCGAGCGGAGAGCGCCTCATAGTCTACAATACGATAACGCCGCTCTCATAGATTCGATGTAGCCAGCCGAACGAACCAGACTACCGGATACCTGCGCGACCGTCCTCCGCCGCCTTATTGCGCTGACTATTCGCGACAGGACAGGTTCGCGTACATCTGTTCTTGTCATAAGGAGTGATTTAGGGCTGGTTGCGGGCATTGATCTACCCGCCGCGGAGGATATCGACCATAGAACCGCGGATCTCCCTTCAAAAAATCCAAGATCGAACGTGTTTCATTGAGCAACAACGTTTCAATGCCGTTTTTCAGGGTAATGTTGTATGATTTGAGGTTAAGTTAATGGAATAAGGAGATAGCAGAGGATTTCGGTAAAGTTTGAAGATGAAGTCGACACATAGATTGCTTTGTTCTGTTTTCAATTCTATGGCGTCTGCGATATCGATATCGATTATATCGATTTAATTTGAGTAACAGAGTTTTTAGTATTGTTTAGTGAATTATCTTTAATTGTACGTGTTTTCCGTGAATAGTGTAATATTTTGAAGTGTTCACAACTTAACCTGGATCTAACCTAAAATTCGCCTCATGTTTATGCTATCTCTGACTGATTCTTTGATTATGTAAGTTGAGTAACATTAGTTTACATTCTATTATTTAGTGAACACTCTCTAATTAATGTAACACTCGTTATTCCAACGTATTATCAAAATTCATACTATTCGTTGATTCGCTCGATTAAAATTCGTAATGGATAGATACTTCAATTTCATTAAACAGTAATATAATATCTTCAAGAGTAAACTAGTTGTAATTATGTGTAAACATTGTTATTTCAATTTAGAATAATCCTCTTCCCTTATGTATCCAGAAATAACTGCCTAGAAGATATCTTTACGAATCACATTTATTCTCGTATACAAATTAATTTAGAAGTTAATAAATCAAAGCTGTTACATGTATGCCTTTTAGTCACTTCTGTGCATACATTCGAATTTCTATTAGAAGGTAATGGATTGGAAATTATGCTAATTGCTAATTGTTCCATGCTGTTTCGAGAATATTTCCCATCGTATTCAGTATAGGAGAGTTAGTCCGTTTCCATAGATAATGCTGTTGAGAAACACGGACATAAGCTCATGTATGACGCACCGGATAACCAGTTCTGTGTGATTTGTGGCTATTCCTGGCAGATCTGTTTGCGATAATAAAGTGGCAATGAGGCTTGTTACCGAGGCTAGTTGAACGAGAATCGTCGTATTCTCGGCGCTAGATTGTCAACATCATTGGTACATCATTTTGTAGAGATCATCTATCGCCGTGTCCACAGGTATATACCTGTCTCTATCCGAAACTAGTATTTATCCTTGCTAAAAAAAATGTAATTCTGTCACGTTTATGTAAGTGATAATCAAAGATAAAAAAATCATTTCGTTACACGTCGTATCTACTAGTAACTGTTATTAAAATGTTTAACGTGGTATAAATTACAGCGTTTCGCTGTTTGAGATCTTGACTGATACGCCGTTTTTGCGTTCAAATTATCGTTGAAATTTTAATTTATTTTATCATAAGGTAGATACAGCTGTGAGTTTATAAGTAAATCTTTACGATTAATTCGTAGCTAGTAAAAATTATTTCTTGAGGCAATGCAACTATTAAAGCGGAAGTTGAAAAGATAAAATATTATTTGTATATTAATGTTTCGCGATGAATTTACTTATTTTATTTATAGATCAACTTTCATTAGATTATAGTAATATTCCAAACTGTTAAAGACACAGGAAATATTTTTTAATAATTTCTGCAAAGCATCACAAAGAAGGATACAGAATATAAGGAAAATGATATTTTATCTCAGTTTTTAAACTCAGAGAACCTTGGTTACTTTCCGATGGAGTTATGAATTAAAAATGATATTTGGCTTTTTTCTTTATATTTTTCCTTACCCTGTTCTCCATATCTGTTGTTTTTTCCACGACGCATGCTTACGTAGCGATTGCACGTAGATGACTGTTTATTTTCACCGCTCCATTATCTATTTTTAATGTTGGACCAGACGTAGTGTAAAATACGCTCGACGCTGTGAATGTAAAACTTAATCCCCGGCCGCAAAGGTAAAAAATTTTTATAATTCATGAGATGTTCATTTAACAAAGCGTAAATGAACAAAAACCGAACTGGTGTTTTCATAATATTTTCATGGCTCGGTTACAAACACCATATAACACGAGTCTCTTTAATTCTGCTTTTAAGAAAAATATATGTACGTGATTATAAGTTGGAATTTAATTAATTTCGTAAATTCGGTGTATTTCTAGAAATTATGTATTATAAAATTCATGCCAGGGATGTAACAACGTATAAATATTTTTGTGAATAATAATTCTATATATTTTCCATTTATCATTCTTATTTCAACTTTCGTGCTTAAAATTGTAGATCTGTGTTCTTCTAGCATAGAAAGTTTAGCTAAAATTACATGCAATTATACTTTAAATACGCCCAGGTATATGTATATGTAGTATATTCAGACATGTTCTCATTAAGTATGAATATTCTAATTTCATAACAGAAAGGAAAATTTCTATTTTTTTTATTTCTTCATTTTTATTTTGCTACCATCTTTTTTTTGCTTATTTTTTCTTATTTTTTATTCTATTTTATTCCTTACTCATTATCACATACAACAAATGCATTCATAATTCTTAGAAAAGATTCCACTATACATCTTATTATATTCGCTATACACGATAAATATTTCTTCGTATCTGAAATTAAATATCCGTGCTTATACAATATTCTATTCCCACTGGTAATACCTATCCAATAGTATTCCAGTTCGGAATAGAATTACCATTTCTATATATTACCTATATTTGTACCTTTTTGTATCAACGTCTAATTTTCCTCACGTGTTAAAGTTTCTGTTAACGTGTGAAGATTCAGGAGAACGTTGAATACCGGAAACCGCTCGGAAGACGAAACCAACGGATATTTAAAGTCGATACAATAGCGCATTACCGACTGTATATTCAGTCCTGGCGTTTTGTTGGGCTGGCTACTTGTCATGTATCAGTGTATACGTCAGAGGAAGAGCACAGAAGCGAGTCTAGATCCGGACGAAAACGAGATGCTTATATTGTTGCAGATCCATTGTTACACCCGAGTCAGAAGAGAGGTAGGCCTGGCCACGTTGGTACCGCCTACTAGAGTGATCCCGACAAGGAAGGACTTGACCAACCTCGTCCTGCCCCTCCAGCACGATCCTCTACTCCTGGACTCAACCTGACGGGATCACGTTCTGTGCCGTCGTTCCGATTAATTCTTTTGCTGTAAAGGGTGCACTCTTTGGCCGATTCACCTGTCGCAAAGCGTATTGGAGATCGTTGATGCCGTGGAAAGAGAAATGGCGGCGGTTCAGGTTTATGCAACCCAGATATATTTATCATTCTTCCAGAGGAGTAATTGCAAGGTAAGTACCTATCCACTAAGAAACTACTATCACGCAATACTATGCTTTTCTTTTGATGATTGGACTCGTACCCTAGATAGAGGGAGAAATAATACTACATTATTTTGAAAAACCTCTGAAAAATGTGGGTTAATGTAGACTGAAATGCTATAGGTGGAGTTATTGCAGTTTAATTAATCTTGCAAGCTTGTTATGCTGCGGAATGATTATTTTATGTCACGATTGTTTTTTTTTTTTTTTAAGACAATTTATTAGGAGTATCTATCTGGAATGTAATTCTCTAATTAATGCAGAAGTTTTTCAAGTATACTAGTTTAGCTAGAATAATCTGCATTGAAGAGCTAAATTCTAGAAGAAATTTTCATTTCAAGCTCCAGTAGGATTAATTGATTTCAAATTTGTAAGACGATGTACTATTTTGAATTAGTGCAATGATTGCAATATTAAAATATCAGTCGAGACGTATGAAATTAGAGAGGTGCAGGTCAATTTCCTGCTTGACGTGCCACGATAAATGCAATACATATTTACCAATAATGTAGATTTTTCTTATCTCCTGTATAAAATAAGTATTCCTTCATGAATAAGAATCTCGTGGATTCAACTTCATATCTCATCGTGGTGTCCTTTTTCTCGCTCGTTGTAACCAGGATTTTTTTCCCTTCATTCACCCACTATATTACATGAGCTTTATATATACTTCTTTACATTCTTCCTTTGCTTTGCACGTGTTAATCTATGCGTCTTTCAAGTTCTTTTTACCTTGTCCTTTTCTCTGTGAGATTATTTTTACGTCGCATTCAGATAAAACGTTGTAAAGGAGGTTTTGATAATACTTCGTACTTGAATACGTACGTATTTTATTATGTTTCAACTCTGTTCCAAATAACTGTGCCTATCTGTATAAACAAATTGAAAGAAATTAATAGAGAATACAAATAACGTTCGTCGCAATGACTCCCAACAAATACTTTAAAATAAAATAGAATACACGTGAAGAATATAAAATTGTGAAGCTTTATTCCGATATTGGATCGAAAAGATCGATATCCCAAAGAACAATACTTCGATAGACTTTGAAGAATCTTCGAACGAGGACTCGAGTGTGTCGAATCGTTCATGAAACGCGGCAGTATTCTTTAAGCGGAAAACGTATACGTCTCTTGAGTTATTCGTCTGTAACGAATAGCTGGCATTAGTTAACAGGATATCAAAAGGATACCTTGTGGCAGGCCACCAAGGCACCAAGACCCCACCCAGTCGATGCCCGGTGTAACATCAGGAACGAAACCCTACCGAACACAATGCCTCGAACCTGAGACTCTATCGCGATATCATCCGGTTATAAATTGGAACACAGCTTCGCCCTGGCATTATGATGTCTCTAATATGTCTTTTTCCTCGTTGGTCACTGACCGACCGATCTCTGAGTCGATCACCAACTGTATTTTTGTTTCTGAGGCATTCGTGTGTCCAGCAAATTGTTGCACTTTCCGCGATAGAACCGTATATTCTCACAATCAGTGGAAAGATCATATTCTACGCTCCTATTTGGAAGATACATTAAGATCGGTTCGTTTGGAAAACATTAGACCGATGATAGGAAATTCTCAGAAAGAAAAGAAGTCTAATTAAAAGTTCTACTATTTAATCTTTCATTATTGATGATTGTCTCCTACCTATTCCGTTGATGATGATTTTTTCATTCTTTTTTAGTTAAATATTCTTTCAATGCCTTTGTAGTCTAGTTCTCAGTATTCAACATTTTTCCTGTGAAAAAGTTTTACAATAATCTAAACTAATTCATCTAAAGAAGACTGTCTTCATTGTAAATTTTTCTACCTGTCTCGTATACAATACAAAGCCTACGATACACTTTGTTATAAAGAATAGTTTGTCGTTCAACTTTTCAACAGCAGACAAATCCTACAGTGATTTTAGGAAATCCCAAAATAGACAGGACTCTTCTTCATCCTGATCTATAAACGCACTAGGAAAAACGTAACTGATATAAAAATTCGTGTCGAAAATTATTGAGACGTTTTCGAGATTCCGAAATGTCAGGAAAAACGCGGCAACGTGTTGCAGCTTCGAGAATTGTATAATACAAAAGATGAATGCCCTGTATCTGTCAGGAAGAGCAAATTGAGGATAGAGGATGAGAATGTGAGGTACGAAAATGTGATGTTGCACGCGTGGCCCGTGGTCGAACACTTTTTGCAGACTGGAGAATATTTATGGACAATACGAAGTGGCCTGGAGTTGCAAGATCCTCGACCTCTTCCACCGACCAGGAATTATTCAAAATCCTTGCTCGTGCGACTGCTCGAGATAAATAACGTTCGCCTCTTCCTCCACTTCTCTTCTTCCCTTATCCAGCTTCTCTTCCACCTTCATCGGATGTTTCGTGTGGGTGAGCTCTCGGGGCTCTCCGTTGTTGGATGTTTAACATAACACGGGCAATCATTTATGCGTGGCGAGCTGGACAGCGACCCCATAATTTAGACCAGTGGGCAGAACTAGCTTGCAGCACTACCCTGCGATTGGTCCCATACGGGGTGTACCTCGTAACCTTGTACTTGAACGCTTCTTGGAATACACTTTAATGTCTGTCTTCCACTGCTCCACTTCGTCATTCATTTGCAACAGTTCTTTTCCTCGCTTTATATTCGACTATTTCAGTTCCTTGGGTGTATTTATATTGTACCGTAGAAGAATTATTGATAGTGAGTTGTCGTCGTAAAAAAAGGAGGACAATACGTTTTCTATTAAAAAAAATATGGTAGATCTGGAGGTTTTCCTCCTACAGCGAATAAATCAGTTTCACATCGTATATACTTGCATTGCATATCTATTGCATATGTGCAACTTGTGCCTTAACTTCAAACGCTTGCTGCACGATTTTTCTAGTATCTGCTAAGCAATCCAAGCGATCTATTAAACGTTCTAGCACTGTGTCCATCGCAGAACATCGAAACACAAACAATTTGTATTCAAAGATCTGCGACCTGAAACTTTAAAACTACGAACCAAAGGTAAACATTTTATACGATAGATAATCGAATTAATTTGTTAGTCTTCTTTGCGAATTAATTTTCACAATTCTTTAATACTTCCATAACATGTTTTAGTTTGGAGTATTTACGCGTCCATCTGCTCCTCCAGTGCAAAACTTGTCAATTCATTTAAAATCCCTGGAGAATGAGTTGGTTCATTCATAAGAGATTGAAGAATGCATTTTCCTTGCTGCGGCGGCTTTTAAAAAGTCACTGGGTATATCGAGGGGGCCTATATACGTATGTAAGCATCGCAAGGCCCCCCACGGTGGGATAAAGGCAGGCTCCACGACAGTAGCCATGTACACCATGGGTTAGACAATGCCGCTCGCATTAATACACTTCATATTAGTCCGTTTTAATGCGTGTTTGCCGGCCATTGTGAATGAGCGACACTGTTTATCACCGACCCCCGTACGGCCCCCCA